GAGGGGGGGAGGGGGGGATGTGTATTTTGCAATACAGTGACTCGTATGGGTTCATCGGTAGGTTAACTAAGTCGGTGGAGAGGAGGGGTCGTACATAACGACGATGGATAGCCCGACATACATACGGACATACTGCTATGCATACGTGCATACCTACTTGCTCCCTCGCGCAGGTCTTTATGCCGCGACTGCGGGCCAGGATAAGCGGGTGGTGGTGTGGGATGTGGCTACTGCCGCGGCTGTTGCGACAGCTACCGCCCCCGAGGTGATGAGCGGATTGGCTTGGAGGCCCGAGGGCAACGAACTTGCGATGGTGGGTGCAATGACATAGCATCCGACTGAAATATCCTGTAGGGTGGAATACACACACACATACACACACACCCTCACATCAAAGGCGTTGTGCTGGCGGGAAAGATGGCGACGCACGTACGACACTCCACTTTTTTTGCGAAACCCCCTCCCTCTCCCTTCATCTGGCCCACCCCTCACTATGTCTGTCTGTCTGTCTGCCTGCCTCGCTATAAAGCGTGAAACCAACCCCAAAACCCGGAGACAAAACCCCTTTTAAAACCCCTGGGGCCTGTTCCCTTCCGTCCGCCCGGTGGTCAGGTGGGGGAGTCTGGCGGTGTGGGTGTTTGGAGCTGCCCCGTACCCGGAGATCGCCCGGGGCCTGCCGTACCGGTGGACGAGCTGGAACGGCTGCAGCAGGAGCAGGAGCGGCTAGGTAGTGGGGGTAGTCGGCGGGCTAGGGGAGCCGGAGGGGAGCCGGAGGGGGGCCGGGAAATGTAGTAGTGGACTCTGTGTGCGTCTTCGGTTTAGGTGTTTGGGTGCGCTGAAGGCACCTGTAAAGAGACAGAGAGAGAGAGAGAGAGAGAGAGAGAGAGAGAGAGAGAAGCAGATGGACACGTGCATACACACCTCGCTGCGTCCTACTCCCCCCCCCCGCCATGCCGTACCGTACTGCAGCTGATCTGAAGCGCCTGGATAAGGCCCGTCAAGGTCGCGGCGGTGGTGACACGGCTGCGTGTGGGTTATTGGATGACCTTGTTCCCCCCGCGGGGGGAGAGATACGTGAGGAGGTGATTGAGGAGGTGCTTGGGGGGGAGGGGGACGGGGAGGAGGAGACGGCAGCGGCAGCCGCAGCAGCTGCCGGAGGTGGCGCCGATGGCGGCGCCGCGGCGGCGGCCGCGAATACGAGCACCGCTGGCGGCGGCGACGGCGAGGAGTCAGTGCTGGCGGAGGTTAGGGAGCGTCGCGGCGGTGGCGGCGGCGGCGGCGGCGGTGGCGGCGGCGGCGGCGGGCATGTACGAGGTGATCTCTTGGGCAGGTCAGCCGTAGCAGGAGGTCGTCACGGCATTCAGACAGTTCGGACGGTTGTCAGGTAGGTGGTTAGTTGGCTGGGAGTTTCCTTTACAATGGCAGGCATCGCATACCCCGAAAGTAACCACCTCAACCACCCGGCGACTGGAGGTCTTTTTTGAGGGTTGTGAAGACAGCGCCACTGTCGGCACCACCCTAACCCCACTTGGACCCAACAACTCTCTCTCTCCCTCACACACGCACAC